CCCGGGACCTCTTCCTCTAACTCCAGACATTGCCCATCTAGCTACCTACTTGACATCTCCAGCTGGGTATATGCTGGGCATCTCGGAATGAATACCGGCACAGAAACACCGAGAGCCATGCCCCTGCCTTGCCCCAAAGCCCTGCTTCTGCATTTTTCCCATTTCAGGGTCAACTTCATCCTTATAGTTGCTTAGGCCAGAACCTTGGAGTTCTGCTGGACCAGTCTCTTTGTTCACGAACCATCATCCAATCCTGTGGACTCTCCCTTCAAGCTGTGTCCAGAATCCAAGCCCTTCTCACCTTCTCTGCTTACTGCCACCCTGGTCCCGGTGCCCTTGGCTCGTGTCTGGGTCCTTGCCACGGCTTCCCAGCTGTCTCCCTGCCTCTGTGCTACCCTCGTTTGGTTTACTCTCAAAGCGGCAGCCAGAGAGTTCCTGGTAGAGTATAACCCCAAATCCTGCAATGGCTCCGTCTCACTCAGAGTGGAAGCCACTGCCCTTAGCGTCTCCTATGGGTCCCACGTCACCCGGCCCTCGTTACTGTTCTGGTCTCATCCGCTTTCCTCCCCACCCTCCGCCCCAGCCGCATCCCTGACCCCCTAAGCCTGCTCCCCATCTAGACCCTTCTCGTTGGCTGTTTTCTCTGCCTGGAATAGCCTTCTCCCAGTCATCTCCACGGCTCCCTCCTTCCCCTCCTCTCTTCCTTTGCCAATGTCACTTTCTTAATGGGGCCTTCCCTGGCTTCTTAGCTAACATTTTGACACCCACCCAGCCACTCCTGGCATTCCCCAACCCCCTTCCTTCTTTACTTTTCTCCGTGGAACAACTCTTTCCAACATTTCCCTTATTTATCTTATTAATCGTATGTCTCTTGCTGCTAGACTGTCAGCTCCATGAGAACTAGGGTTTTGTCTGTTCCCTGATGAATTCCCGGTGCTGAGAGCCATGCCTCCCTCCTAGGAGACACTTAGCACCTACTTGTGAAATGAATGAGTGCTAATAGGAGGTTGTCTCCTCTCTCCTAACTGCTTCTTTCTGACTTTTTATGGAACTGTTGTCTTAACTTCCATCTGTGCTTTGTCCACGGGGTTAGTAGGACGTAGTGGCAAAGCCAGTGGACAGCCAAGTGCAAACGGAATTTACCATTTGGCTGCCTCATTCCCAAGCTGTGTGACTTGGGATAAGTCGCTTGGCCTGAGATTTCATTTCTTTGCTTATAAAACGGAGGGAGCTGTCCTATCACTCAGGGTTGCCGTGAAGTTTCAATAGAATGATGGATGAAGGGCTATCAAGGACAAGATATGGTTTTCATTTACCACAGCGTCTGGCCCAGCCTCAGCGCCAGAGTTTTATGCACATGACTGTCTCATTTAATTCTCACATCAAATCAGTGAGATACAAACTCGCACCGCTGAACTCATTTTATAGATAACAGAACCTAGGAGCACCAAAAAGTTCAGTGAATTACTTAATGCCCAAGAGCTAGTCAGCAATTCAGACAGGCTTTGAAACTAAGCATTTTTATTCCATGGCCTGAGTTTTTCCCCACTATGTTCTACTAGCACAAAGTTAATGTTTTAATAATCAAATGGAGTAATGAAAAGGATTTGACCTGACGTGCAACTTTTGTCTCCCGACGATTTTTTTCTGGACTGCTAATGAACACAGCATTTCCCTGATGGTATTTTTATCCCTCTTCAACTCAAACAGGCAGAAATTCCTGTCTTCCAATAGAAAAAGGTATTGTCAGGCATTCCTCTATCTTTCCCCTCCTCCCCCCAGGGAAAGAAACGCTATCATAATGTCCCCTGAGATTTCTGTTGTATGGTCTACCAAGTCCAGATGGTTTTCTCAAGTTCAGACATCATACTTGGTAAAGTATTTGTAATTATCTACGGAAACACATCCTGGACTCAGTTGCAAACACGGCTTCCCAAATCACTTATTCCATGCTCTTCTGCCTTGTGTTATGGCCTTTCTGTGCTAATGAATTTGTAAATGTGGTTTAATTACTGTTTACTGAAAAATAGCTACACACGGATCAGTCTCAGTGGAAGACTTAGCCAAAATGTTGAGGCAGTTTGTTTCTAGTGCAAAAACAGCTAATAAGTGAGAAGCACATTTTAGACATTGGGAAAGGAGCTTAAGTTTTGTTTTGAAGAAACAGTGTTGTATAGACCCAGAAAAAAGAAATCATTCTTTAAGAGAGTAGATCTAAATATCAAAATGATATTTTTTTTCCTAAGGCTGGGCACACGGTGATTTGCACAGAACCAAAGTATTAGGGATGGTGATTTGATTGAACACCACACCAAAGAGCTGTACGTTAAAGAGCCCCCCAAAAGGAAAACCTGAAATTACTTGTAAATTTCATAAAAATGTTCCGGAGCTCTGGAAAGCCATGTATTATGTATTACCTCATGTTTCTGAATTCTTGCCTCAGGCAAATTGCCAACTTAACAACTAAATGACAGTTTCGAAATTCTAATACAGACCGGCCTCTCTAACTTTGCTTTTCTCCCTCCAGAAAAAAAAGGGACACATGAGGGAAATGAAAGTTATTGGAAGGTTCAATTTATAAATTGTGCTTCATTTGGAGCTGTAGTTTAGTCTTGCTCTTGCATAAAATGGTGTTTGCCTGATTCTGCATGAAGAGGGGACTTCCTGCCCCTGTGGCTGTTGGTCCTGCCAATAGGACCTGTGCTGTCCTCTCTCCATCCTTTAGGAGGGTCCCTGTCTAGGAAGGGGGTGGGGCGCGGAGCCTGTTCTGCCTCCAGTGCAAAACTCAGAAAACAGAATCAGTCAACTTGCCAATTCCTAAGACTGCTTGGCATTTCTTGAACTATGGATTAAAATGCAAGAAGTTTGAGCAGGGTGGGATGCAAACATCGCCCTCTAGGAATTTATTTTTAGTGGGGGCAAAAGACAGGCAATTCAGTATAAGAGATCCCCAACTGGGGGGCAGAGCGGGGTGGGGGGCACGACCAGGTAAAGGGGGTCAAAGGTACAAACTTCTAGTTATAAGATAAAAAAATCCTATGGCTATGATGCATGGCCAGGGCCTCATCGCTGTAGTGGAAAGACTCCTTTTCTGGGAAGATTATTACAGATTTCCGTGTTGTAATGATTCATCTGTCTATCGGTCGTTCCTTTTTTCATTAACTTACCAAGTGTTATTTATGGGGACCAGAGAGGGAAAAGTAGTCCCAACAGAGACTCGGTCTGAAGGGGCTGACCCTGCAGAAGGAGGGAGACAGACATTAACAAATAAACACCAGAAGAGAAAATCTCAAAGAAAACTGGGAATCACGATTAAAATGGGCATGTGTGGTCTTTCATATAGTCTTTAATTTTCCAAGCTTTACTTTCAGGATTTTTTCCAATATAGGAAAAATGCAAAGTATAAGTGCAGAGCCCCTTTATGAGAAGGGGCTGATCTTGACCGTGCTTAAATCATAAGACTTTGCGGGCACCTGGGTGGCTCAGTTGGTTAAGCGACTGCCTTCAGCTCAGGTCATGATCCCAGGGTCCTGGGATCGAGTCCCGCATCGGGCTCCCTGCTCCGCAGGGAGCCTGCTTCTCCCTCTCCCACTCCCCCTGCTTGTGTTCCCTCTCTCGCAGTGTCTCTCTCTGTCAAATAAATAAATAAAATCTTTAAAAAAAAAGCATAAGACTTTGGAAATAGGAACTAAGCTCAGATATCACCTCCTCCAGGAAGGCTTTCCTAATAGCACCTATGTCCCCTTTTGGCTTGGGTATCTGCTCTATGTTCTCTCATCGTACCACATCCATTCCCTGGCAACTGTGAACTGAATAGCTAGTGTACTGTCCCCTCACTGTCACCACCATTTCTGAACTTAAACAGCTGGAGGCCCCTGAAGACGGAGGGGCCACATCTCACTCTTCTTTGAATCCACAGCACCAAACACATGCCTGGTGCCAGGTGCTTACTTACTTAATGTTGATGGCTCTGTGAATAGGAAGATGATAATTCTAGTTGTTTTTTTCCCATCTAACAAAAGTTGCCTTTGTTACCCCCCCACTATGTTAAGTATAAAAATAGGTAATAAAAGTGTATATATTCTTGTTTTTTGAAATGTGAATGTACTAAAAACATATGTTAATAGTATATTTAGATAAGCATGCATATAAAAAATCTGGAAGGACACACACCTAAATGCTAGCAGGCTTATCTCTAAGTGTTAAGATTTGAAATGTTGCTAACTTTTTTCTTTATGCATCGCTGTGCTGTTTTACTATATTGCGATGGATGTGTACTACTATTACAATAAAATATGAGGTTAATTGTATTTAAAAAGGAAAGTTTGGCCTCTTCCATAGGCATGCACGTAAGCGGTTTATGAAGCTTCATCTTTACCATCTGAACCCAATGCTGACAGTGAATTGACCTTGTGAATTTAAATAACCCATCTAACTTGGTAGCATTTCATGGTACTAGATGGGTTTGTATTTTCCTCAGTCATATCTGTTTCATAATATTCAGAAGGTACCCAAGCAGCACTTTCCTGGGAAATACTCTAGCAATAAAACATAAATTACCTCTTTTGTCTCTCTCTCTCTTCCAGTTCTCCTCCTTAAATTTTCTCTGTTAATACTTGGATTGGATGTTAGAGCCTCAGACGTCTTAATGTCAGGCTAGACTAGACCTCTTGCAAATAGATGAGGCAGAACGAAGTAGCCAATTTCTCTGGCTCTGGCTCTCCCCCTCCCTCCTTTTCTCCCTCTTTCTTTCATTACGAATCCCTTGTTTTTGCATGGCTCTGTATAGAAGAATTATCAGTTTTCTGGTCAGTGCTATTTCTGCTCGGCCTCTTCTGACTGCCTGTCTTTCTATCATTTTGTTTGGCTGAGTTGGACAACCAGACGGTGTTGTGGACTAAAAGAGTCTATTTCTTTTTCCCAAAGGAACAATCACAAATTATAAAGTGTGCCTCTGAAAAACAGGTCTAAAAATGAGATGTCTTCTTTTCTCTCTGCAGCTGAATTCTCGCTGCCAGGATGGGGAAACAGAACAGCAAGCTTCGCCCAGAGGTCATGCAGGATTTGCTGGAAAGCACAGACTTTACAGAGCACGAGATCCAGGAATGGTATAAAGGCTTCTTGAGAGACTGCCCCAGTGGACATTTGTCAATGGAAGAGTTTAAGAAAATTTACGGGAACTTTTTCCCTTACGGGGATGCTTCCAAATTTGCAGAGCACGTCTTCCGCACCTTCGATGCCAATGGAGATGGGACGATAGACTTTAGAGAATTCATCATAGCCCTGAGCGTGACATCGAGGGGGAAGCTGGAGCAGAAGCTGAAATGGGCCTTCAGCATGTATGACCTGGATGGAAATGGCTACATCAGCAAGGCAGAAATGCTAGAGATTGTGCAGGTACGTAGCCCTAGCCCCTTACAAAGCGAAGGACGTGAGTCACAGGTAAGAACTGGCAGGTGCACCATCCAGCATGGGGCGGGTTGCCGACTGGTGCCCATCTAGTCTTTGATTCGGCCTATGCAGTGTTTTTGGAAATGCTGAATCCATATTTCCAAACAGGAGATTACACATAAAAACGCAGATTGGTTGCCATCTCTTGAAAACTCAAATCTGGCAACATTGGGCCCCCATTCTTGCTTGGCCTAAGTCACCTGATTGCTTTGTGGTGACCCCCACCCTACAGATGGATGTACACTCTTCAGCAAATCCTGCTCACTGTGGCCCCTCCGTCCACCCATCCCAGTGACCTGCCCAGACCTCAAGCCTTTGGAGTTATAGCCCCTGGAGTGGTGTGTAATGATCAGTCTCTGACCTGGGGTTCAGACCCTGCCCCTTTCAGTCACCACCTCTGTGACTCTGACTGGCTTAATTCACCTAAGTGAGCCTCAGTGTCCTCATCTGTGAAATGGAACCATCAACCCATGTTGTGGGGTTAGTTCAAAATTAGATGTGACTGTCCATGTTCAGTGCCTAGCGCAGTGCCAGCTGCATGGAAAAGCTCATCATCACCACCATCATTAATTTACAACTTTCTTAGACTCTTAAATAAAGGCAAGGATCTCTGGGCTGGCTTCTGTCTCGTCTCGTCAGAAATACAAACATTATAGAATCAAGTCCTCCATCATTTTAATAGGAAGCAGTCCATTTTATTTCCCCAAACCACTCACCCAGAGTAAATACCCTGAATAGAACAGGAGAAGGGGCCCTGGTGTTGGTCCTATTTTCCCTGTCAGACCCGAAGGGAAAGTGGGGAAGGGGCATAAGGAGTCATAAGTGGTCATGGCACCTACAGCTTGATTGGCAGTGACTGGGACTGGGAGGAACTTAGGGGGACTGAGACACAGCTCAGGGGAGGATCAGGACAGCTTCAGCTGCAGGCAGTAAAAAGGACTAGGTGGGTGGGCTGGCCATCACTCATCATCTTGGCAGGCGAATGGGCACAAGAGGGAAGCATCTGGAAGCAGACAGCAGACCAAAAATGGGCATTCGGCTTCCTGGAGGGCTCATCTCAGAAGCCAGCACTCACTCCAGAGTGTCAGGGTTTCGAGATAGATCTGCAGCCCCCGGGAGGACAGGTGGGGGTGCTGGAAGGATCACAGGGAGACAGAGAGCAATCCATTGCTGGTGAGGTTGGGAGGGGAGTCAGAGGGACACTTGCTTTCAAGGAAAGAACCAGGGAGACCTGTTACAGAAGCTAAGGTCAGAGCCAAAAGAGACCCACACGACTGCCTTGTCCTCGAGCCCTTGTAGCTGAGGCCTGTGGTCTGCTCCTGGGCCAGTGGGCCTGAACCTGCAGGGGCAGTGAGAGGGACAGGTGCACACGGAGCCGGGGGCGGAGCAGGAATCCAGTTGACCTCTGTACTAGCAAACTCTCCCAGGTCTGCCAACTAGTTCTTTCTGCAGCTTTTCCTTCACCGCGGGCAGCGACTCTCTGAACGCGGTGTGTTAAATTAATCCCTCAGAAACAAAATCTTAAACAAGACTAAAGGATTTCTCCCCACCCCCAAGGATAAATGTATGAAAAATATAATGTCAATGGCAAAAATATGGGCAGTATAGAAAAATATAAAAGCAAAAGAGAAGAATTCTCCATAATCCCACTCCACCTACAAAGAGAATCACTGCTATTAATTTTATAATACTAGCAAATGATATTTTCTGGTCTAATTTCCATGCATTTGAAAATGTCTAATTGATTTCATAATGTATATGAAATTTTGTATCTTGCCATTTTCACTTAACATAATAATACAAGCAGTTCTCATGTCATAAAAACTTTAATAACGATATTTTAATAGCTGCATAATAGTCATACAATATAATTTACTTTCTCTTCCTCTATTGTTGGATATATAGGTTGTTTCCAGGTTTTATTAATATACATGATACTGTAATTTTTAAATATAAAATAACAGATAATTCTTGTGCATGAAACTTTTTCTGTGTTTAGGGTTATTCCCTTAGAATGGATTCCCAGAAGTGCAATTACTGGGCCAAAGGGAAGGAGCATTGATTTCTGAGGTACTCGATGCTCTCTGCCGAACTGTTTTCCCAAACGCGCACCCTGAGTGAATGAAGGGTGTGCCGCGTCATTGTACTTTTCCAATTTTTCTTCATCTTTGCTAATTAAACAAAAATTTAAATTTCAAAGGTGATTCATTTTAATTAGCTTTCTTTTGTCTCTCCTTTTTGGGGGGAGTGCTGCACTCTGACCCCGTGTCCTCTGCGTCACTGCAGAGAAAGGGGTGACTATGTTCTCCTTTTGAAGAGAATGACTTCCTAATTGGGATCTGGGGGAAAAAACTTCCTGGCAGCCACTGTGTTATCTCCTGTTGAACGTTTTTTGTTTTTTTTGTTTTTTTTTTGTTTTTTTAAGATTTTTTATTTATTTATTTGAGAGAGAGAGAATGAGAGAGAGCACATGAGAAGGGGGAGGGTCAGAGGGAGAAGCAGACTCCCTGCCGAGCAGGGAGCCCGATGCGGGACTCGATCCCGGGACTCCAGGATCATGACCTGAGCCGAAGGCAGTCGCTTAACCAACTGAGCCACCCAGGCGCCCCTCCTGTTGAACGTTTTTGTGCAGTTCTCCTGGCTGCCCCTGGTCAGGAGTTTGGTGGCCAGTATTGACGAAGATGTTGACCCGCAGTCAGGGAGAACCCTCCAGACCCCAGGGGCTTATGAACATCCAACCATTCAGTTAAGCACCTGCTAAGTAGCTGGCACTGGGAATAAAGAGCGTGGGCAGGAATACAGACACTCTCCCTGGGCTGTGGAATTTGGTTTGCAAGGGCGGGTGGGGACTTTGCCGAGGATGCGCAGAAGGTGCTAGTAAGCACTTGCTGAGCCCTCGCCGACTTCCTCTGTGTTCAGCATGGAATGTAGAAAGTGATCATAGAAACGAAGGGCCATTCAGCCTCACAAGACATTTTCCACCACTTGTAAGTAGCTCAGTCCACTCGCAGGCCCACGGGAAGCTTCCAGGTCATCACGGGAAGGATTCGGAGTCCTTAATAAATGCTTATCTACTCAGGGTTTTTTAGGAGCCTGCAAATGGAAGCCTTGAGTCTCCTTCATTGTTTTCTACAGCACCGCACCCTGATGATTAATATTCATGACTGTGGGGAGGAAACCCTGCAGCCCCTTGAGGCAATTTCCAAATTGCCAATGAGATTAAATTAAATTTAGAACCCTTTTCCTATGAAGGGCTATGTCACTCTATTCTGCTACTCTGCAAACTGACAGTTCGTGGATTCTCTCATTACGCTAATCCCCGGGTTGCAGTGACTCTGGATGAACTGGGATGTGGAGGATATTACCAGACTTCCCATTCTATTTTTTTCTTTTCTCTCCCCACTCCAAAAGTGAAAGCACTCTAGGCCCTGTCCCTGTCCCAAGAATCTGGGTACCTGTGTGCAGATTCTCTATTTGGGGGGTGCGGGTTCTATCTGGTCGGCGCCATCAAGGAAGGACCTCCGCTGGGGATGCGCGTACTTCAAAGGAGTCACTGTCCATGGGTTTCTGCTTTGTGTTTGGGTCAATATATGTTAAGGAGTGATGAGACAAGAGCAAGCTGTGGGCCCCAGAATCATTCACAAATGATGGTTCTATTTGTTAAAGTGAGTAAAACCTGCAGCTTGATGACAAGCACCAACATATAAATTCTTGGCTAAACTTCTGCTCCTCCAAGACACCAGAAATTCAAGCAATTTAATAAAATTTAATAAAATGCAAATTCCTGGTGTTCACCAACAGACACTAAAAACTGGTCAGGGCCCAAACAAGTTTATAATTAGGCTCGACAATGGAGTGTAGTAATCCACAAATTTTCTAGTTTTTCTTCCCTGACATTGTTTCTTGTAGTTTAGCAAGTGTAGTGTAGCATTGATATCTGCAGAATATTGTTTACAGTGACAAGCTTTGGTTTCTGTTGCAGACGCTAATGACACCCTGGGAGTTCCCTCTTGCTGATGTAACAGATTACCGTAAAATTAGTTGCTTAAAACAACACAAAGTTATTATCTTAACAGTTCTCCAGGTCAGAGGGTCTGAAATCAGTTCTACTGGACTAAAATCAAGGTGTCCACAGGTTGCATTCCTTCTGGAGGCTTTAGGGGAAAATCTCTTTCCTTGCCTTTCCTGGTTTCTGGACTCATTCCTTGGCTTGTGGCCCCCTTCCTCCATGTCCAAAGTCAGCAATAGTAGATTGACTGAGTCCTTCTCACACCAGCATTTCTCTGGGTATCTCACTTTGCTTCTCGCTTCCACTCAGAAAGACCCCTGTGATAACATTGGGACCAGCCCGTTAGGACAACCTCTCCCCATCACAAGATCCTTAGCTTAATCCCATCTGCAAAGTCCCTTTTAGTATGTAAGGTAAGATATTCACAGGTTCCGGGGGTAACAACACACATATCTTTGGGGGGACTGTTATTCAGACTACCACATGGACCAAAATGCAGTTATGTTCTTTTTTAAAAAAAATAATTTTGTGCTATATCAACATCTGGATGAACAAATAAAACCATATGCAGATTTATTTTTAGAGTCTTAAATGAACATTTTTACGTTCACGTGTTTGGTTTTTTTTTAAGTGACAAATTTAGGAACATGGTTTAGGCCCAGTATCTTATTAGCATCAAAACTGCCTATCAGGAGTTGTAAGCCAGACAGATAACAGCTCTAACCTTTCCTCATGTTACAGCAGATCCTCTCCTCCAGGTGGGGGCCACAAGAGCAGGGAAAAGCCTGCCTGCCCCATGCAGCAACCTGTGAGCCCAGCTGGAGGCAGGTCTGCACGCCCACACCCAGCCCAGCACAGGGTCTGAGGAAAGGGCTGAGCAGGTGGGAAGGGGCATTGCTGATGTGGTCACGAGGGCTTGGATACTCCCTGAGATGTT